TTTTAAAGAATTCTTCATGAGGTGATTCATGATCTAGTATTTAATAGAAAGCATGAGACAGGTAACTGTTTATTCTGCATCGGAAAATATTATAATGTGTTTGAGCCAAGAAGAAAAGGCTAAAAGGAGATGCACAAGAGGATTCATAATGGTTATATGTAGGGGCTGGAGTTACTTTATTTTCTTTCTGTTTCTGTTTATTCAAGCTATCTACAATGATCACATATTAGTTTACAATCATAAAGAGTCCAGTAACTTTTCCTTATGGAAGGCAGAGCTAATTTCCCATTATAGAACAGGTTTCTAAGGATGTTGCCAGTCCAGTTTTAGGGTAATAGACCTTGATGGTTTTGATCCTATTGTACCCCATCCTGTATAGAATCTTATCCTATTAAAGAGTTTATTTCAAGGTTAAAGAAAAATGGATTTGGTCACTTATTTGTAAATCACTTGTCAGATGCCCTTGAGACTCAAGATCTTAAATGGAAACTTTGCTGCTTGTTCCATTATATGTGAGGAGTCTGGATCTCTGGCAGACATTCCCTTAAGACATAGCATGCATCGCAGACAGATGCCAGGCCCCCTCTCTGGGTCAGTGAACACCTGTAAACCCTGGCTTCTGACCTCAGACTGTGCATCTGAAAAGAAAGTGTGATAAAGTCTGTCAGTCTCTAAGAGGCATACTGTCATTTGTGAATTGTGTCAGTCACTTGAGCAAATTGTTTAACTGTTTCAAGTCCCATCTGCAAAACAAGATAACCTTACCTCACTGTTTATGGACCCCAAATCATGGATTGAATTCCTCCTATAGGAGACATTATTAGGAGGGGAGGACCTTGGGAGGTCATACATTACAGGGTGAAGTCTTCATCCATGGGATTTTAGTGTCTTATAAAATGGACTCCCAAGAACTCCTTCTTTCTATGCTATGAGGATACAATGGAAGTTGGCAGGCTGAACCAGCAGCGGGTCCTACCACAACCTGGAGGTGTTGGTACCTGATCTCATACTTGCAGCCTCCAGAATCATGGGAGTGCCTTTCTGGTATTATGTTATCGTCACCTGAGCCATTTAAGATGCTTGGATGCTGTGAAGGTTCAATGCCATCCTGCTTGTCCAGCTCCCAGATAATCTGCAGAAGAAAACTGTTACATGAAGACCAGTGTGGTTTTGTGAATGGAGCATAGGCTTTGGCTTTGAATATAACTTCAAATCATATTTCACTAGATACAAGCTGTGTGAAAAGGGGTCTCACTTAACCCATCTCCTTCTCTGCATCTGAAAGATGGGTTCACAATGCTTTTTTATGGAGTAAGGAGCACAAGCATCCAGGCTGTGGACTGAATGGGTGGTAAGGGCTGAGAATGACCAGCTGCAGGCAGCTAAGCACTCAGCCCTGACAGTGACGCAGAGGTACAAGGTCTCTATGGTCTGCTCTGACTTTATGAAAGAAGCAAGAATTTTTTTTACAAAGCTCATCAGTTTTTAAATATCAGAAAATGGTGGGAAAGAAAGACTCCTCAGGCAACATCCTGCAGTGCTAGGTTGGATTTCTCAAAGTATGTTCATTCCCTATAGCACTGGGCTTTGTGGGAGGCAGAATGTATTTCCCCATCTTACTGATGTGTATGTGTCCATGTGAGTTGTTTTGGCACGAAGTGTGTGTATGTGTATGCAAATGTGTGTATAAGTGTGTGTGTGTGTGTGTGTGTATCCCCTTTTATCATCTGCTGGAACAAGAGCATACCTGAACAGCCACCATCCCCAAGAGACATGAGGGGCAGACACCAGAAGCAGAGCTAGTCCACTGGCCCGTAGTTTCATGAGAAAAAGAAAATGATTATTGTCCTAGGCTGCTGGGAGTCTGTGGTTATTACAACACCAAACCCAACTCAGGCAGCATCCCTGGGTTCCGTTAGAGAGGACAGAGAAAAACCAAGTGACTGGCACATATATATTTAAGAAATGGCTGCCCTTATGACTACTCAGTCCTGACAAATCTTAGGGAGTTCTGCGAATAAAAAACAGGCACAGTCCATTGTTCCTCCATGTGATGCTTTTGTGTTGATTTGACCTCTGTGAAATTCGAATGCACCCATTTCCATTTCTCACCTTCTGATGCAAACTGAATTACCTTATCCAAAATGCTTGGGGGCAGATCTGTTTGGGATTTTTTTTCAGGTTTTGGAATATTTCCATAGTAAACGTAATAAAATATTTTCAGTACAGGATTCTGTTCTAAACACAGTTCAGTTATGTCTTATACACTTAAACTGAAGGTAACTTTATACAATATATTTGATTCACCTGCATTTTGGTGGTAACCCATGTTATGAGGTCAAATGTGAAAGTTTGGTTTCTTGTGGTTTCATGTTGGCACTCAAAAAAAAATTCCTAGTTTTGGATTTCTGATTTTGAATTCTAGATACCCATCCTTCATGCCTAAAGGGATTAAAATGTACCATAGAGTTATAATCTTTTGAGATTTAGTGGATCAATATGTGACAAATAGTGACTTCATGGTTTCTTGCTTGGGAGTTGTTGACTACATTCTATTACCATACATGGTAGGGGTTAGCTATTAAAAACATAGTTTGAAATTATTAAACTCAGAGAGCTTGAGTGGTGTTATTCTACAGCAACAGAAATGTGCAAGGAGAATCCTATGGAGGAAGCAGGAGCTAAGTCTACCTTGAACACTGGAGGGATGGTGACTGACAGCTGCTGAGGCATGGTAGAAGTGAGAATCAACGCTTTCAAAGATGAACAGCTTTGCTTACTTACATGGATACATGCTGCGGGAGGCAGCATGCATCAAGGGAAAGCATATGCCAAGGCTTCATATACAAGCATGTGATGTTTTCAAAAATGTAGACAGAAGTCTCTGGTAAAGAATCATGTACAAATGGAGAGGGGCAAAACCCAAAACACCTGTAAGTTGAGTCCAGGCTATGAATTGCCTTGGATGTTGTGGATATTTTTGTGAAGATACCCTTATCAATTCCTTCTGTCCTGATACATACATACCACTTACCTGTATCTGCAAGTGGAGTCACCCTTAGTATCTTCAATCTTGGTTGACCTGTGACCTCTTTAGTGACCAGCATACAGAAGTGACTCAGTATCAGTTCTGGCACTAATATGTGTTTTCTCTCTCCTGGGATGCAGGCTCTTGGGACTTTGCCTCTCAGTGAACTCAACATTTAAATCATTTTATAATGCTAGAGAAAGGCAATGTGATATTCTAGAAACATATCCAAATTTTATAGTCTAGGAGCATCTAGATACAAATCCCAGCTCTGCCATCTATATTGCATATCAGCAGCAGCAATTAACTTAATAGCTTGGATGATGTGCCTGCCCAGATGTCCTTTACAAAATCCAAGATGCTGTGACCGTTGCCATCTCGTTGTCTTCCCACAGATTTGTCCTCAGCTGATGGGAGCTATTTTGCCTTCAAGCCCCCAACCCTCCACCCCCTGTACATACCCTGGGCATGGTCCCCAGCCCATGGTGGTTTGATAGAGGTGCACAAAATACCTAGCTCTAGAGGGGCTAGGTATTTGTCGGGAGGCTTATTCTCCCAGGCTCTCCCCTCATTGAGTGGTCCTGGATATAGACTTCAGAGGTCCACAGCTTTCCTTAATTGGACGTGCCTCCTCATCCTGTGTCTTCCATTCCCTTAATGGTGTCTCCAAAGGACATTCCTCCCATAAATCCCATGCTCCCAAGTCCTAATCTCATTAGACACATACTCTCCTTTACTTTCCATTTTGAAGCCCCAGATGTGCTGTGATGAGATACTGAAATTGTCTAGCACGTGATACACGCTTAACAAATGATAACAGATTTCTTCTCTCATCTTCCTTATTGGTAAAAAGTAGAAAAATATGAGGGCTGTTCTTTAAACATAAAAGATACTCAAGTGAATTCTCTATACTCAGTATAGGCAGCTTTAAAAATACTAAAGAGAGACACTGACTTGTAAAAGTGGGGCTGTTAATATGCTTATTGTGTGGAGTTGTTGTGAGAAGCTGTTCCAGTAGTACCTAGAGGAAACCTTCAGAAGGAGAAGCCACTGCCTCTCCACTTGGGGACAAGTCCAGGAGCCTGGCCAGCCCTAGCTTTCCCAGGCTGTTCTCAGCACAGAGCTCAGCAGAGAGGGTGTGCTGTGTCTATCAAAACTAGTGCACCGGCTCCTTTTATAAAGGAAACACACTTTCCAAAAAATGCCAACACTACAGGACAGCCTGTGCAGGTCTTCACCACTAGCTGTGAACAAACCTAGACCTCCCCATTTTTCACCTGTAGATCTAAAGAATAACTAGAATGTACTGGAAACACAGTATCCTGAGATAGAGGAGAAGCTGGAGGTTCTAGGCTCTGTCCCAGCATATGGCCCCAGCAACAGGGTGCCCTCTGGTGTGGTTCCAATGTGTCCCAAATGTTCCAAAGTCTGTGTTAGAAACTTATTTTTCAGTGCAGCACTGTTGAGAGGTGGGACTTTTAGGAAGTGACAAGACCATCAGAGTTCTGCCCCCAGGAAAGGATGAATGCTGTTACCACAGGAATGCTCCTGGGAGCGTCTCCAGATAAAAAGGGCTCCAATTCTTCCCTTCTTCTGTCCATCTACCCACCTTCATCCTCTCACCTCCTGCCATGGTATGACACAAGAAGGCCCTTGACAGATGACCGCACCTTGGTATCAGACCTCCAAGCCTCAACAGTGACAAGACAGTGCAAGTGGACATGTTCAGTCGAGACCCTGCCTGACCTGGGAAGCTTTCCTGAGCTTAGGAGGATGAGCTGGAATGAGTCCTGGGCTTCCGACCTTTCCTACTGCCTATCTGTAGGTAACATCCATTTTATTGACTTGCTGTATGTGAGTGTGCTCTGTCTCACACAAGTTAGTGGGCAATGAACCTGCTTTACAGGTCTCATGATTGTGAACAGATGAGTATACACGTGCTCACATCAACAGCCAGAGTCACTTATTTTGGTCATTAACACAGTTTATTATTGGCACACTTATCAGTAAAGCATACATAAAATACAGCTGTTTTATAACACACGGAGCCACTGTGTCTTTACACGTGTAGAGGAACATAGTAATATGCAAATGGAAAAATTAGTTCTCTTATAAAGTTTCACATAAATACACTGGAATTGCCCCAAAAGAAAAGTCCCCATAAAGAACCAAGTGAGGGATTTACAAAATATTATACAAGCGATATACCATGGGAAAAAAAAAAAAAAAAAAGAAACCCAGTCAACTCAGATACAGTTACAAAAAGAAAGAATACAAAAAAGTTTCAGATTTATTAAACTTCCCACAAAATTAATGGATTACATGGCTTGAAAATATTTGGACCAATAGCATGTTTACAAATGCATACATTACCTGGTCCAACTGTCGTTTTTTACATAATAAAATCTACCCACATTATCGTTGATTCCTTGTTTCAGCACTGGGCTAAATTGAAACAACTCAGATGCAAGAACCAATTACTGTCAGCTTGCCCATCAGTCACCTAACTGGGCCTTCTCTTACTGCCCAATGCAAAAGAAGAAAATCGAAGGAAAAAAAAAAGATTTAAATTACTTTCCAAAAGCTGATTTTTTTTTCTTTTCTTTTTTTACTGAAACAAGAAACTCTCAAATGCAAGTCAAAAAGCAGAAAATATTTTACAATATTAAAAAGTCATCTGTAGTTGGGTCCAGCATTTTAATGAGCTCCTGAGCACTATGGACAGACAGCCTGGACTTCACTGGGTACAGGGACAGGAAATTCAACAGAAACAGGAAGATTAGATCGTGCCAGGAGGTGTGTTAGCGTTTGTTGGCTCTAATTAACACCAATGCCGGTATATTTGTAAGAAGGCCCACTGAGGCTTACCTGGGACGATCCTCTCAATTGAAAAAGAAAAAAAAATGCAATAAAGAAATCAGGCCATTGTGTTTAGAAACAGATGTTTGCATGGAAAAGTTTTTGTGTGTTTTAATTTCTCCTCTCTTCTCTCTGATAGTAAAGATTTGAGACTGGAATTCTACCCCCAACGGGCCTACGGCAGCGGATTCTGGTGCTCCTGGCCCATCTTACTGGGAAGCCTGGGGTGGGGGGTTTTCTGATTTGGTCTCTTGCGTGGCGGGAGGTTTACTGTTCCAAGGGCTGTTGTTCCCCAGGGCGGGTGAATTGTTGAAGTCCTCCTCGTCGTCCATGCCGTTGGCCGCATCATACTGCGTGTTTTCTAATCTAGTGATTAGCCTTTCGTCCTCGTCCCCAAACTCACCTCCCATCAGAGTTGGCTCTCCTACCACCATCACATCCTGTGAACAGCAGCTGACATTATTACAGGGAAACCTTGGGAGAGAGAAGCTCAGCTTAAAACAACAGTGGGACGAGCTTGGGGCACCTAGGACAGACACACTCGTGTGCGCTGTACAACTGGGTCAAGTCTCAATGTCGGGGGCCGAGACGCATATTTGATTTCTACAGGAAATAAATATCGCCTCCTGATGTGTAACAACCACGCGAGTTTATGTCCTTAGTGCGCAGCCTGACACCGGAGAACGGGCAATGCTAGCAATCTGCAGAAATAAAAAAATGGATTTTTCAAAATTAAAAAAATCCACGCTTTGAACTTGCTGACCTGGGGGAACTTTTGAGAGGGCTGTAGAACCTTTTGTTGGGCTCATGGCAATACCTCCAAAAATCTGCCACTTTCTCTCTGGAGGGGCTTTGCAAATTCACGGAGAGCTGGGACACACGTGTAAAGGTATCATTCTGCAATATTTACGCAACGAGTTCCAAATGGTATTTTCTCTGTCCCCAGGATGGTATACATTTTAATTGAGGACAGAATCTCTCTCTTCCCTACTCAGCCAGGCCCTTTTATGCAGCCAATATCCTTGACATTCTGCTACTTAATTATGGTAATTAATTTAGGTAAAGTTTTCGATAAAAACAATGTTCACACTGATTTGACAATTTGCATAGCTAATTAAGTCATTAGCAAAAACCTGCTGATTGCCAACAAGCCCTGAATTTACCATCTGTTATTTCATGGTGCCTGTCACCTATCCCCACACAGGCAACCCTGCTACCAATCTGGACAGTAAAAAGAACCAGTCCGTCCAGCTGGTACCATAAAAGGAAGATGAAGAGTGAGCTAATTATAATTACGCTGATGAAGCTGGCAGTTATCAGAAATGGAAGCTGCAGGAAGAATCCCACTAATCACTTCTTTAAGTACAAATTGTCCTTGCATGCAAACAAGGAAGCCACCTACTATGGCTGGGAGTTCCTAGGGAGGCCGCAGCTGGAAAAGCCCAGTCCCAGGGTGGGGGTGGAGATATACACACAGGGCATACATAGCTCCAGGCTCTCTGTTTAAAGGGGACTAAATGAGGCTGATGGGTGACCATGGTGTTGACAGGACACTTGTCAAGTAGATTCTTCTGGACAGGTTCTGAGCAGTATTTGACTTGAAAGTTCAGGACTTCAGGAGTGAGAGCATCTTATCAGTCTCCAGGAAGCCAGAAAAGGCCTTGCTAGGCCAGCTTGCTTTGAAGTGCTGAGCGTCTACCTCTTGGTAGGGAGGCTAATTCAGAAAAATGCTTTGACAACTGGGCAAAAGTTCTTTTCCTTGGGTGGCTTTGCATAGAATCTGGAGAAGGGAGCGGGGTTCTCTGATATCTAAACTTGACCTAGAACTTGAATGGTGACTGCTGAACAAAGCCCTGGTCTATTTGGGGATGGAAAGCCTTGCTTTTTATATTTATCCCTGTCCCCCTTCTTTATTTGGATGCAATGATAAACATGTTTCCAAACTGTTTTCTGACTAGTCATTCTTGGGAACTGATGAAATTGATTTTAAAGATAAATGACCCAGATGGAGTAAATGCCTAAAATGTGAACTTAGTTAACTCAGTAATAAAGGTGCTAATAAGGGTGCTGGCTGAGCCAGGTGCTTCCAAGAAAATGTTTACTAGGCAACAAAGAGCCAGAAACGACACACAGAAATGAGGAGACTCATGAGGACTCTTAAGATGAGATGCAAAACAGACACAGTCTTTCTGACTGCCAAGAGGAACGACATGGTTTTAGATGGAATGTGGGCACCACAGAGACCAGTTGAACATTCTTTAGTTAGCTGAGTAGCTGCCATATCGCTCACTGAGGTGTGTGGACAAAGACGTGCCACTTAGGTGCAGGCAATTCGGAGGCCGTACTTACGATCAGGAATGAAAAGAGGTAGAAAGAACAGAGGAAGATTAGCCAGCGCACAATAAGGGTTAATGAACACACTTGGAAGGCCTTGGAAAACAAGTGCTGAGTATCACCAGGTAATAAAGAGACATTAGAACCATGTGAGTCTATGTTAGTATTGTGTTTCCAAGGCCATGGAGAGAGGCTGGGAGTGTGAGGACGTTAAGTGTAGCTTGCAAAACAGAGGAGGAAAACACAGGCAACTTAAGCATGACTTTAGAAGAAAAGTCCCAACACTGCAGATGTGTCCACTGTATTAGAAAATGACGTTCATGCAAGAAAAACAGTAGGAGAGTGGTGGTTAGAGCCAGTCCTATGGAGCTCTGGCATAGGCTTGCAATATGTGTGGAGAACTTTTTTTCCTCTTAGGACTAACTGGAAAAGATGCCCAGACATAGGTGTTTTTAAGCATGCTAAGTTTCAGTGCAATGCTACATTGGCTTTACTGATTATTTTAAAAATATCCTTAGATACAAACTCTGTGTGTGTGTATGTGTGTCTGTGTGTGGGGTGGTACTTATACAACTGACAGGTATCTTGATATAAAAAGACCAAGGACTTTATATGTACATAGATACTTGAGGCCACTTACAAAATTTTATGCAGATCTAACTAAGTTCTTTTGTACCTTTAGGAAAGGAGAGTGATATTCTCTCTTGACCTGTCCTCACACAGTGGAGCCATGCTGCATATTCTAAGCTGTTGCTATCTAGGGGATGTGAACTGCACGTCCCAGCCCCCATGTCCTGGAAATCCCGCCACATTGGTCTCCAGCTTGTGCATCCCACTGGAAACAACAGGACTCCACCTGAACATAGCCCACGTGCCCTCGGCTCCCCTTGAGGCTGACCTCTGCTCCTGAGCTGGGAGCTTGGAGGAACCACCAGCTTTTGCCCATTCCTGCTCACTAATCCCCCGTGCAAGGACCACCAACCTCTGAGGAGGACTGGAAGTGACTCCTTTCAGGGCCCCTCAATGCTTCTCCTTAAATTGGCCAGAAGGGGTCACTGCTGTTGAATGACACAGGTCTCCATCCCTCCCAGGGTTGAGGCTGCAGTTCGGGATGGCTCCTAGCCCCTGCTCATGGAGTGAGAAGCAGAATCCAAGGATTAAACCCTAGTCCTGGCCACATACACATATCCACTGCTGCTGCAGCAGCTCTGCAGACCAGGACTGCAGTCCTTGGGCCAGGCAGCTGATGCCTGCAGGTATCACTTCTATTCAAACAGTTAAGATAGTGGTGATTTAGAAGACAGTGATTAAAAAAGATATGGTCCCTCTTTAACATTCGTTTAACATGATGACACGTAAGAGTCTACATATTTTCCTAACTCGATTCTCTGCCTCTCTGGGCCACCTGTGAGTTCTATTAAATGAAAATACCTTTCACTGCATGGGGTGGGGTCCTGCCCAATCTCATTTCCCCATCTCTAAGGGTATCTTGCTCACATACAATCCATGCTCATGAAAATGCCTTGACACAGAGATCTTCTCCCAAAATGTCATTTTTGTTTGGAGAACAAGAGGATCATGGAGTAGGAAAAAAATTATGTGATTTAAAAAAATAAAATTGAAAAGATTCCACCTAGATCAGGTATATTAAAATACGTAACACGGGTGTTTTCCTCTACTTTTACATCCATGAGAGACATCACAGACTCTTTACCAGTCAGAATCTTTCTCAGTACGATAAGATGTGAGGTAGCACAAAAGAGGGAACTTCTTGGTCATCCCTAAATTAAACAGTGAGCTCCTCAGGACAGGGCCTCCTTGGTCTTGTTTTTCAATACTTTTAACCTTGGTATTGCTAGTACCTGGCATAATGCGGTGTACAGTAGGGGCTTAGAGAATGCTTGTTGAACTGACCTAGATTTCTATACTTTCTATGCCTTTTAGTAGCTATGTCACAGTTCTGAAATTCTCTGAAGTACACTTGCCTTGTTTGCTACAGGGAACTAACAAATGTTAGTTTGTAAACCCAGGACTGGAGGAATTCACGGGCTACGCATGTAGACATTTCCAGACCATTCATTTACACTGGGCTGTTTTCTCCATTCCACCCAGGCATTTTCCAATCTAACCAGGAGCAAGCACAGCTTTTGAGCCTTAATAAAAAGACACAAATTTTTCTCCTCCGGTTTCTTTCTCCCCTGACCTTCAGGAGTAAGGGATTGGAAAGTCTCATTCAGGAAACAGGATTATTTGAGAACTTGTTTCATTACTTGAGGATTATAATTCTTAGCAGTCTTAAAATTCAAATGGTTCCTTCTCTGGTGGGTGGCTGTTAGTTCCATGACACCCCTCTCTCTAATGCAGTGAATGTGGAAATCCCACCCCAGTCTATGGAAGATAAGGGGAGTCCCAGAGACTTGGCCAATCATTGGGTACTGGGCTTGTTTTTGTCTCAAAAGAACTGACCAATAGAAAGTGGGTAAAGTGGGTGGGGGACAGATTTGGAAAGGTACATTTGCAAGTGAGTAATTTCCCGACAAAAGTCCACTCTTCTGGAAAGAGATGGAGCAGGATCAGAACAAGGCTGATGAGGTCAACAGATGGAGGGGAAGGTGAGGAAGTCAGAACAGGCAGTATTGGTGGAGGCAAGTGACCGAAGATGAGAGACACTGCCCTGAAGTCAAATCTAGAAGGTGCCCATGAGGCACCAAGAAAGGGTCAGGATTCAAAGCAGAGTCAACTGCCTGGTGACAGTGGTGGAACCAGGGCAGAGAAGAGCCCACAAGGAATCGTGGCTGGAGGGGAAAGGGATGACAGGTGTTTGCAAGAACAGGAGAATTTGAAAGTGATAGCCTAATACTGGGCTCTGGAATTTAGAGTCAGGAAAGGACATGGTTCAGTTTGAGAGGGATCAAGGGGTGATGAAGAAAGCCCTGCACAGTCTAGCCTCTTCAGGGAATACTCTTGAATCCCAGTTTTGGAGGTCCGTTAAATCCCCATAGCAAGTGGCATTTGTCCAGCCCCCAAAATGAAAGAAAGGGGTCAGGAGTCAAAACTGTTGATCAAACCAGGGACTGGCTTCCCATGAGCTAATGAGATGTGTTAAGCAAAATCCAGTGAGCTGCACTTTTAGTGGCTGCAAGTTAATTACCTGGGTCTTCAAATAAGAGGGGATGCCCATGCTGGGAAGACTCAAGCAAATTACAATATGGGGCTAGAGCTCAGGGGGCCAGTTTCCAGTGGCATACAGGGTCTCTAGTGGCTGCTGCTGAGAGGCCTTAATATGCCACCAGGCATGCTGCTAAGTGATGCTTTCATTAAACCTTAAGTGCTATATCTCCTGTCAGTGACTCTGACGGCTTTTTAATTCAGGTCCCATCACAGCATGGACTCTTAATATTCCTTACTAATTCCTAGTTTGCAGAGGACGTTACCATGGTAGGATTCCTACCACCCAACCCACCCTGTCCTTGCCTTACCCCTTACCACCTCCATACTGTAGAACACCCTCTCTTCCACCCTCTCTCCCTCCTTCCCGTCTCTTTCTCCCCTCCCTCCCTCCCTCCCTCCTTCCCTCCCTCCCTCCCTTCCTTTTTCCCTCTTGAAGCTCGGTGACTAATTACAGCCCCTTGAATAGGATAATGGGCAAAGGCAAGGTTTCAGGCCTAAAAGGAAAGCGAGACTTACAGGTACCTGAGTGGACAGGCTCAGGCTGGCCGCGGGTGTCTTCTTCTTGCTGCCTGTGCTGTTGGTGGTGTTCCCTGCGCTGCTATTGGAAGTGCTGCTGGTAGAATTCTTCCTTTTTCTCCTTTTGGTTGTCGGTTGCCTTGTGGGTTCTGCTGCAATATGAAAAGAGGGGAAAGGGATCAGTCCAGGGTGAAAGCACCAGGGCTACCCTCTGTGTACTGTCCCTTTAATGGAGCTGTTCTCATACATTGAAAAGACTGAACTATGTAAAAGGTTCCTTTTTCTTGTACTAAAAAAATAAGTAAGAATAAAAGAGAGTTGTTTTCTTTTTTAGCACAAAATGTGTGGAACTGTTTTGTTTTGTATGTAGCTATACAATTTTAATTTTTTTTTTCTGATTATAGGTCTGTAATTCACTAATAGTACTTTAAGAGTGAGCTGCAGGTTTCACTTTCATAACTGAGTTTAAAATAGTTTTAGCATCAGAAAATTTGAGAACGTTTTCTCCTCTGGCCTACTTTATCTTTCATAGCAAAGAAAGCAATGATGTTAAGGACCCTAGGAGGCACATCAGACAGTTGTTAGTAAACCACCTTGCCACAGCGGCACCTACTGGACACGTCACATTGCAACCTACCTCTACTGCACCTTGATTCCAAACATAAAGAGAACTCAATCAGTTGCAGATTGGGGTTTCTCAGCTATGTAGGAGTACCTAATGGTTAGGATCCTGGTGTTTATAAATGCTATTAACTTAAAGATTCCTGGAAAGAATGGCTCAATATTATGCAATTAGCATATTAACAAAGGGAACCTAGACCTCTTCAAGAAAGGTGTATTTGGAAATAGAAAAAAATTTGGACCTGAATGAAGAGGTAAATATTTACACGGAATATGAGGCTCCATAGAGATACATAATAAGGAAAGTATTATTTATTTATTTGCCTCTCTGTTCTATATTGAGCTTTACTCAATGTATTTCTATTTGTTTCCTATGATATTAGTTCATATTCACAACAACTAATTAATTAGGTTGTTATATCCTTTGTGTGTGTGTGTGTGTGTGTGTGTGTGTGTGGTGTGGTGTGTTTCAGGGTTTCTCTATAGCCCCAGCTGGCCTGGAATGCACTATGCAGACCAGCTGGCCTCAATCCCACAGAGATATTCCTGCCTCTGTCCCGAGTGACAGGATCAAAGGTGTGCACCACCACACCTGGCTTATATTCTTCATTTATAAATCTTTGGTAATTCCTTTTCCGTAGAGCTGCTGAATAAATCTGCAATGGCTGATAAGAGCATCCTTTTTCCCAACAGTATCTGAGATGTGCTTCTGAAGGTGGGAGGATGAGGAAGGGTCACATTGGAACTTAATGAGTGGGTCTTGTGACATTTTCTTAAAACATCCATCCATGGTGCTTATGATAGATGGGCAAGGGGAGAGACCTCTTAATAAGGCTCATTTCAAAGACCATTGAGTTCATTGAGTAATTTTTGACTTCATGAACAAGATGGAATTATGGTTCTATTTATCTGCACCTCTTTTCTGTCATAAATGTTATGGTCTTTATGTTCAGAGATTTTTCAACAAAGTACTTGTTGTAACTTTTGATTGCCCTGTGAGTGCCTATTCTAAAAGATGACAGAAAGAGGAAGCAGAATTGTTGCAGATCATGAAGATTGGAGGCATGCTGGAACAGGCCATTCTAAATTTTTATCTATTTAATTCAGTGTGTGTGTGTCTTGGGAGTCCATTCTCTCTTGCCATCTTGTGGGATCAGGGATCAAATTCAAGTTATCAGGCCTGCATGTAAACTCCTCTCCCCACTGAGCCATCTCTCTTGCTCTGGAGGAGGCCATTCTGAGGTCACAGAGATATCCAGGTCTACCTCTGACAGAATCTTTTTGCTTAGACCTTAAGAATATGAGTTTGATTTTTCATAAACAAAGTACATGAAATTTAGGGTAGTTGCCTCCAAAGTGCACACACATTATTTGCACTGGTGGCGGGTAGTTGTGGTAAAAATCACGGACTTTAGAGATACAGAAACCTGTGTTCAACATAGTACTCTACATATTAGCTACAAGACTGACTTTGTCAAATTACTGCTTTACACCCCAGGCCTCAGGATGTAAAATAGGGACATGAATAAGCATCTCGCAAGCCTGTTGTGAAGACTCAACATGCTTCCTTCCCTCCTGTAACCCCAGTGGCAGCACAGCACCTGCTGCCTGGTGGGTTCTTAGCATGTCAAATGAATAAACAAAAGAATCAACAATGAGTTATACAAGTGCAAGTTGGAAAATACAGGTGCTCAAAGCATTTGGTGAGAGAATGGAGGGCTTTTCCCCCATATTATATTAAAAGAGAAAATAAAGCCAAATTAAATACATTTAATATACTTGAAAAAATAATATTCTAAAAGTCTAAAATTCCCCTAAGATGGAGATGCAACTATTTCATGTAAAATGATGCCTAGTTTCTCAGATTTCGATGTGTGTGCTTGGTTAAATCTTCTGCATTCATTTAATAGAAAGCCCCTGGCCAATTACTAGTAGATAGTGACCATTATATTTTGTGATTCAGAAAGCCATGTGCCTCATGTTAATAATTACTCTTTATAAAAAAATGAATTTTAGCGAATGGATACATTTGCTTTTGTGATCAGTGAGGCTCGACACCAGCCTGGGGGTGAAAAATACATTAGGTAGAAAGACAATTAACAGAGACTGAAGCGGTAATTTCAGAGCCCAGCAGGAGACTCTGGGGTCTAAACTGCAGGCTAGGACAGTGAGGGGAACTGTTGTCCTCATGATCAGAGCAGCTTTTGATATATCTTTTAAAATAGAGCAAATTTGATGTGCCTCTCATCCCTCGCTCCTTCCTTCCATCCCTCTCCTCCCTCCCTTGTTTTTCTTTCTTTCTTTTTCATAATTTTTATTCATCTTAAAAGCTAATGAAAAAATGGCCCTGAGAAGCCAGCAGCCTGCTCCTCTGGGATGGAACAAGTTACTGGATCAGGACACAGAAATCCCTAGTTCTGATCTTGGGTTTCTAGCTCGGGCTAATCATTTCACGTCCCCCAGCTTCAGGTTTCACACTGACAACAAGGAGTCTATAAATAATTCGTAAGGATATTTTCCCTTCAAAAGTTTCAAGTAGACTAGAGAGATGGCTCAATGCTTACTGCCCTAGTACAGGACTCAGGTTCAGTTTCCATCACCCACATCATGTGACTCACAACTGCCTATAACTCCTGTTCCAGGAGATCCAGTGTCCCCTGTGGGTACCTGCATGCTCCACTCAAGTAGGCACACATACATATACCTAAAAAAAGTAAATCTTTTAAAATATGGTCATGTATCTATGTCCAACTTCTGATAAATATATGGTCATCTTCTACATTTTGAGAACTCTTCATCCTTAGAAGAAACTTCCAAAAGTACATTTAGAAAGACAGCGCAGAGCAAGAACGTACCTGGCGGAGCCACCATCCGCTGCCACTTCTGAAACAGGCAGGTCTTCAGGCAGTCTCGGGGACTGAGGTTGTAGGTTTTGTGTCTGGACATCAGCTCCTGCATTGGCTCCAGTATTACACACAACTGTAAGGAATTCCAAGTCACTGGTGTTCTGCTATTTGATCATATTAATTACAATAAATAATGCTAACAGCTGGGATCCATTAAATGGCTTAAAGGTTCTTTTTGCTTTCTTTTCCTGGTTTTGATTTTCTCTATATAAGTTTGAGGGGAAAGAAATATTACCAACACTTGATTATACCCACTCAATATAGTATTATTTATAACATTATAGCCGAATGTGATTTTATA